TATTGCTTTGTTATAGAAGCACTTTCGACGCATGACCACATAATATAGAACATGAGAAAAGGTTAGCAAGTTCAATGTTTCTATTTGAAAATCAACCTAAAGAAAAAATAATACAGCGCAAGAGTATCTATCTTGCGTGGTATATAATAGCAGAACGTTTTTTTTTTATACTACTGTCATGCTTTTTTCAGAGGCTGGCAAAGATACATTTTATGCAGCCAAGTTTTTTTATTTTTCGACATCAAGGTTTTTATTACACAGCCTATTTTTTCTTTTTTCAAATGCAAAGGCGTGTTAGTCAATCTATTATTACCAATGTTACAATAGGACCTCGTTAATTATGTCTTGTTGGACAACTTTTTTTTTAATTGATACAAGTATTGTACGTAGACAGCTTATAATAATCGGTTAAAATTGTTGACAACGTTTAGACTACAGGTTAAGATGGAATATTTTACGCTGGTTATGTTATTTGATGTTATAAATGTGTTATCGATTAAACTTTGTTAACCAACTTCCTTATTAAGAAAAATCGGGACGTGGGTAAGGGGTTCTAGATTTCAATTCGAAATATCATACGTTGAAATGAAACTGTCATTAAGCGAACTTATTTTCAGATTTTTTTCTACACGTTTATCCATGGCATTAGTAGCCCCACTCAGAGTTTTATAGCGCAAAGATTTGAGAGTAACTACCACCATACTGCCACTGCGCCTGTAACCCTGAAATATAAGTTTACAAGTCCTAACGTTACCCTTCTAAACCGGAACGCAGTCTTGGTCACATTACCAATCTTGCGGGCACATGGGACTTGTCATCTTATGGTTCAAGGTGACGGGCGCAGAGGGAGAGCTCCTCAGATCTTTGCGATTTATAGCTCTGAGTGGCACTGCAATGTTATGAACAGGCGTGTTGTTTTCCACCAGGCGCACGACTTGGTATCATAAGAAATAACACATCGTCGGCTAAATTAATGTGAACTCTTGGTTAGGCACAAAAAATCACATAAGTGACATTTTCCGCAAAAAAATCTCTAAATGATGTACCTATTGTAAGAAAATCACCATCTTATTGAGTTTCACGTGCAGGAAGATAGTAATTTTCTTACCATAGCTATATAAAGACTTTTTGTTTAAAATGTCACTTATGTGGTTTCACCTTTAAACAGACGATATGATAACCTATGATTAAACATTTATTTTATAACTAAAGAAAGGTCTAGAAATTATATATTTAAGCTTTACTTGCGCTTGAAAAGTAAAAAAGCATGTCATCTAAAAACGGAGTTACGAAGTTTTCAAATTTAGCTGACGAAATGCAAAAGGCGTTCCTGTGATACGACACGTATTATTTGCTGGTTCTTGAACCTAAGTCCCTGACCCCGGCCGACTGTGTCATTGCCGGGTATTATCGTCTCTCCCATTTAAAAACTCAAAATTAATCTTTAAGGTCATGGGAGAGACGAGAGTCCAAAATAGATATACAAAACAATAATAATGATCTGACAAATAACCACACCAATTGCCTGGTCTCAAAGTGAGTACCAGAGCTACAGAATTCATTCCGAGCCACTACCCAGAACACACAGACAGAATCGATGTGGAAAAGTTCATTCAAATTTTGTCTTACCGGGAATCGAACCCGGGTCTTCCTCATACAGCACCCACATAGCAAACTGTTTGGGTGTTTAAACACACCCATTTTCAACAGCAGAACGTGTAATGGTTTGATGTCATGTTAAAATTAAATTTGATCATTAAAATGGTAAAAACAAAAAAAAATGGTCATCATATTTACGTCACTTTCCTTTCCAAGGGTTGACTGATAGAGAATGCTTTTAGCATTAAGTCCGCCTTTTGTACCATTATGCGTTATGGTCAATAAAGTTTCATAAATAAATAAAAACAAATTCCTTTGTATTAAAATTCCCGTTAAAAATCTACCTGATTATGACAACCTTCTAGTAAGAGATGACTATGTACAGCAGCGGGTTATTATGGTCTTATATAATATGGACCACGCATAATTTAGTTTTTTAATTTGTAAAAGATCACGCAATAATAACCCTTTAGTCACAAAGGTATCAAAGTACAAAGAGTAAAAAAAAACATGGTAAAAATAACAGATCTGGACATCGTTCCGCTTACATAACAACGCTTAATGTAGGTACCAATAAATTACATAGCGGGAATAAACGCTTTTTAGGTCGAGAAATATGCCTACATAGCAATTTTATTACGGCTAAAAAGACAACCTTGGTGATTTAACTGTTACCACTGTCGACCTGTTAACTGGTTCGATTCTCGGTTGGACGTATTTTGTAAACGGATATTCTAAATTCGTTCTTGTCCGTGTGTTGTGCATAGTATGTATTAATTTAGGTGGTCTGGTATTCCTAGTATAGAGATCGCTCTGCTAAATACCAACTGGCCATCTTGAATTCGGATTTAGTAGATGCGAAGCTGCAGAGCCTTGAACACCGTCGTACAGTTGCCGGCATCGGTATTCTACATGTTACCTATATATCACGGAGAGTGTGCAATAATATTATATGATTTGATTCCGCCTCCCGGGGAGTAGACGTCGGCTGGGGTTCCGTCCTATGTTTTGGATAGTCCTAGGACACATTCATATGGCGAGCGACTTTCTCCCTGAACGCTATAACTTGGATCTTTTCAAGGCGAGATTGAATAATCATTATTTAGGAGTACGTGTCGACCTCATCGTCACATTCCGTCACTAGTTTAAGACCAAAATATATGGTCTTTTATTGGTCTTTGCCACAAGCCCAGAGGTTCAAACTTCAGGCTTGTCAGCGAGCTATGGAGCACAGAGTACTGAGTGCAAAACTCAAATTGTTGATATCGCTCGGAAGGCGGACCAGTTGAAAAGGGACTAGGCTGGTCACGTGTGCATGCCGTATGAGTTATGGGCCGAGTTAGAAAGCCTCACAATTCAAAACGGAGACGCGGCCGGCCATGTCGGCGTCAAGATTTGGACTTATTTTTGAACTGGCCAGAAATTACCCAAAAACCGGGTTCAAAGGAAAAGGAGAGAGAGTACAGGATCTCAAAAACAATAATAACCCATTTATACGTCCCAGACTGGGCACGGGTGTTCTATCAGGCGATGGTTTTAGACCTCAGTTCGCCACGCTGTCCCAATGCGGCTTGGGGATTTTTCCAGAGGATTATGAACCCTCTTCGACGAAGAGGTTTCATCAATAAGAAAGAAAGAAACATTTATTCGGCTATTACAAATAAATATACATAAAATAGTAATCTAAATTTAAATAGAATAACGAGTATTTGATCCGTAACCTAAACATTTAAAATAACAATACACTATTTAGAATAAAATTATTAGAGTATGCAGCGAGCTCATAAACAAAATAAAGCAACAAAATTAATAATAATAAGAATGATGTCTGAGTCATGATAATACTAAAATAAATTAATAACTAACGTCAGTAATGCCGTTTATTTGTCCTAGTACCGTAAACTCTTTAAAAAAAAAACCTTTAAAGCCAGATAAAGAAGCGATGTTTTCCTTTATCGAAAAGCTCGTGGTAAACTTCGCATATAAATGTCGAGAAACTCAGAAGTGAAACCCACGGCCTTTTCATGAGTGGCGGTAAGCATAAACATTAGGCCACCACGGCTATATATATATAGTAATAATAAAAATCATTGACTTACAAATAAATGGACGACGGGTCTAATACAAAAACGAAAAACTTATTTACTTATTAATTATAATACAAAGACAAAAATGTCCCAAGTCAACCTATTTAAACGTAGTGACATGTAAAGGAATATGAAAAAGCTAAAACGTAGAATTTAAATTGTAATGTCATCGCAGTACTGTCTAATTTTGCTTGCTTCGCTGTCAGTCGAACAAACGAAGACTAAAGCGTGAATGACGCTCTGTATACGATTTTAACGCCCTATAAGTTCGGCACTTTTTAGCACGGACCCGACGTCAATTGTAAGTCAATAATAAAAATATTAAAAAAATTAGAACAACTCCAATGCTTTGGAATTACGTAAACTCAACCATTAGACATGTTTAATGTCATAAAAGTAGACATATAATTATAATACAAAATAACGTCGTACATATATTATAATGACACCCAATAAACTTGTAATAAATTCGCTCGTACAATAAAAAACAAAAAACGACTTCCCAAAGAGCATTAATAAAAAAGAAAACAGATTGTACAACAAAGAGAATTGTCATTTTTTTTATAACCTGTTGTCGTAATATTTTTTTGTCAAACGGAGTAATAAAAATAGACTTATGTATTTATGAACTCTTCCTATATTTGTTTTTTTAAAAGATCAAAGAATTTTTATTTTAAAAAAAATCGTTAGTCACAAAGACGTTTCTAAAGCGTTGAAAGTTATTTAGCAGCCACTATGAACTAACGACATACGTAATCAAAAGAAATATTTGCAGTAAATTTCACTAAACTCACGGTAAAAAACAGTGAAGGTAGAAGAGGCTCATTAGCTGTCATTTTACAATATTTTTCAATGTAGAGGCCAACTATCACGGAAAGTAATTGCGCTACAATAAAAGATATCGTCGAAATGATTTTTTTTATATTGGTATTAAGCAAAAAAACTAACCAACAAAAACCTAAATTGACTTAGAAATCCAATTAATTCGCAGTTAAAGCCAGGAAATCTTTTAATTGTAAAGATTTCTAAAACTGAACTGTATTTTCACTACCATAAACACTAATTTTCAATTAATTTTAAACTCCAACTTAAGATATTCTTTATTAATTCCTATTAGAATTTATGGACCCCCTTTTTGTTTCTAATTTGAATACAAATTAATGACCCTACTTAATACATCGAAAACGGCGTCGCTAATGAAGAAGAAGTGCCATAAAATTAAATCACATCTATCAATGCCAAACAAGTATCAAATAAAGAGATGAAACCCACCAACATTGATTAAAGATATAAAATATTCAAATGAATTCTCACCTGAACTAGGTCGGTCGCTATACCTCGTACAGTACACCCAAGCTGGCCACAAATTAGCATTTCCAGAATTCTGGCTATTGGCATCAGTGCTTCCGCATGTTGAAGGCGCCCCACTTGAGGTCGAGGAGACTATGGAACTAGCAGAATCAGGCCTTTTCTGAGCCTCAATGTGCCTTTCTGCGGGAATAATCTTTGGCAGTTCCTTCTCTTTTTGAATTTCACCAATCGAAGACACGGTCTGTCTCAACCCGCCTAGTGGTGGCAAGTGATCATTCGATTCTTTCAATTTTAAATAATCGAAACTATATTTCTGATAGTCCTTTTGTTTCGATAAGTCATAGGGTTTGTATAGAATACTATGATTCGGTCCGACGGGTTTTGGGCCTTCGATTTTGTTTGTTTTTCGTATTGCGTTAAGGCCGAATTCGGGGTGTAAAATATTGCTGATTGAAAAGGCGATGGGTACCGTCGGCTGCTGTCGGCATCGATCCGAATCGAATGCTTCTTGATTCATCACAGGTTTCACGTCGGGCGTTTCTGGTCTGTAGTAATTAAAATTCTCTTCGTTCTGACTTGGTTGTGGACTTGGTGGGGGAGAATTTGGCTGGACTTTAACTATAGTCATATTCGGCGATGCCCTTTCATACCTCGGTTCTATTGTTGTGCAAGTATACTGGCTTTGCGGGCAGTAATTAACGGGGTTTTCTGCGTGTGGCGCTGGTACTCTTCCCGTGACTGGTCCAGGACTATTCGCCTGATTAGGACTGCACCTATCTTCAAACGCCATTTTCGTCGTCACAGTAATACCAACAGTCTAAATCAACCGTGAACACAACACAATGGGAATCGTCCGACGAAATTATACAGTCAGTACACGATTTAAATTCATTTAAACATCAATAATACGACCGTACCGATTATTATAGATGACACAGCTGTCACTTATTTGAATATTGCATTAATCGATTCGAAAAATAACGTCTTACTTCGAACAACACTAGTCCTTTTCGAATATTCAAAAACGGAACACGAATTCGTTTCTCTTTTTGGAAAATTTAATCGTTTTTTATTCTTAAATGAGGCACGGGACGCGTGATGGACAGCCAGCTGTCAAATTGAAATGTCAAATTGACAGCACGCTCCGAACTCGACGGCGGTGGCCGAGCGACTGCGTCGTACTCGTTCTAAATCTGACACGCCCCCGAACAAACAAGCTTTTTTTCCCTCCACATCCCTATTGTGGGCGTCGGCTACCTTTCCACTACTCTGCGTTGTTCTCAAACTACCTCCGCTTTACTCTGACATGTGGGTAACGAGTGGGAGTGAAAGAGAAAGATATGCGGCAATTGATTTAACGTGATTGTGTACTTAGTGGGTCTGGTAGAGATTTGTAATTCAGTTGTAAATTGCGGTAGGGCTCTTTTCAACCTCGTAATGTATCAATAATATTGTGAACCGCTTTTGATGCCGCGCAGAATTTCGATTAGGTACGACAGAATTATTACACAGGCAGACGTAACGCCATTTTTGAATAATAATTTTATGTTTCGAACATGGTGATTTCAACAATTATGATTATGGTGGCTCAGTTGTAGTTCTTCTTTTTAAATTGTGGCGTTTTGTTTGGCTTAGAATTAGGTTTTAGGTTCGATTACTTTTTAAATAATAATGTAGTGTTTCAAACATGGTGGTTTCAACAATTATATTGGGCTATATTAGAGTTCTTTTTTTTAAATTATGCAGTTTAGTTTCTTTTAGAATTAAGCTAGGTTAAGTTACGTTCTTGATTAGGTTTGTAGAATATTTTTAATTCAAACTAGATTATTTGTTTATAGACAACCGCACTAGTTATATAAAGTTTCAAATAAGACATTTCCTTTAGAGCGACGGAATTCACTCCAGGACCAATTTAAAAAAAATCCCAAATTGTGTCGGGAACCGAACCTCCTCACCTAACGCTCAAAGTACCCATACCCATAAAGGTTAAGTTAGGTTACCTACTTAGTATAATAACGCATAGAAACCTAGTCCGCACACGCTAAGTGAGGCAAATAGAAGCGCTCCCAATGGGCCAACACGAGCGGGCGGACCTTCAGTGCTTAAGGTCAACTTGCACCGCGAACAGCTCAAGAATTTTAGCTAAAAATGACAAAACGTGCGGTAAATGAGTGTAAAAATACGTCAGACAAACATAAAATAGATACTAACATCACATTCCACAAGGAAGTAACGCGTTTCAACTTGTATTTTTATATAAATGTTCACTAAAACCGAAAATTAACCTACTACTAAAACTAGCCTATATGAATTTGATTTTTGCCTCACTTGTGACAGTTCGTTTGATATGAAACTATCATTCTATGCGTTATTATTCTAAGGTTACCTATAACTATTGGTGAATTTACAGGCACATAGGACAGTGACACAGTGGCAGTGCCCCTCAGATCTTTGCGATATAAAACTCTGGCTGGCGCTGCAACTGTTATGGATAGGCGTGCCGCTTATCACGAGGCGCACGACTTGTTCGTCCAGTCTCTTAGTATCATAAAAAAATAGTATGAATGAATAAGAACAGGCGGAGAAAATTAGTGAAAGATCCGACGTCGACAAGCGCCCTATGGCGACTGACAGGGCAGAAGGCAGCGCGGCGTGTAGGGTTTCAATTGAATAGTGCCCAAAGAGTAATAATTCCATGTAAAAGTTATGACAACTAGACATATTTTGTTCTTAAATAATTCGTCTTCAGGATTTTATGTGATCGGACAACGTGCATTCTATCGTGTAACAAATTAGCACATTATTTAGACAATATCTTTCGGTATCTCGTATATTTTTTATAAGATTGTTTTTTAATGGTAAATGCCTAAACCATTTGATATAAGAAAATAGTTATTCCCGCTTCTCCTCTGGTGACTCGATTTAAATACTGTGCTAGAAATTGCTACATGTTGTTAGTGAAAGTGATATATAAATCATATTTTCACATTAATTCACTCATTAACTGTTAGTGGTTTCTATATCTATAATATTTATAAAATAACCTGCTAAACCAAGCCTTGTAAACAATTTGATTGTTTATTACATTTTATATTGAATTAAAAAACTCTCACTTAATAAGATACAATCGAAATAATTGCTTGTGATTAATTCAATTAATTTAAAAACGGTTAAACGGGACTAATGTACAGTCAGCGTCGAATTTAACTGAACGGTCCAACTCTGGAATTTCAGTAAAATTTATAACCTACAGATTTTTTTTCCTTTTATAACTTCAAGTGACGGAAGGAACAAGTCGTACACGCCTATCCATAACAGTTGTAGTTGCCACTCAGAGCTTTAAATTGCAAAGATCTAAGGAGCACTACCACTGCATCCGTCATCCTGAGACATAAGTTGACAAGTCCCATGTGCCTGTAATTTCACCAGCACCCTTAGGCTCGAGCTCAAGGCTTAGGTCGTGATCACATGTGGTCGGCGCCTGACGCCTCTGGACACTTTGATTATGCAATTTTTGTTTTGCATCTTTTTCTCATGGAGGCATTTTTTATTGATATTAAAAATATTAATATGCTATTTGACAAGCATTCAACATGACGCGTCGCGACGCTTTGACTCAGTAATGCTGACATTACTGATTGGCGGCAGAAATAGGTAAAATCTCTTGTAGGTCCCAAAAATTGGGACTTACAAGAGATATCGTCACATATTCCTAACTTAAAATCGTATCGGGGTCGGCACAAAAGGTCCCATTACACTGGCAGCATTGCCTCTCTATACGGCAATGGACACCAACCACGACCTAGAGCGGTGATCGCATCCCCTGTTTCTGAGTCGCCAATTCTTTAAATAAGTCCTGAGCTTCCGAACCCCAGGGCCCCGCCGTTTCGATAGCGACCGGTAGGAAGTTATAAAAGGCAGAATATTTTGCGTTTCATGAAAACTCGCGTCCACTAACTAGGCCACGGCTAAGCTAAAAAATAGAGCACAAAATTGTCTTTTGAAAACAGTTAACCATTGAGTTACAAATAAATGGACGACGGGTCTAATACAAAAACCACGAAAAAGTTGTCCCAAGTCAACCTATTTAAACGTAGTGACATGTAAAGGAATATGAAAAAGCTAAAACGTTGAATTTAAGTCAATGACTATTGCATTAAAAGTGCGACATGTACATGAATAAAAAATATAATTCAAGAACAATACAACATATAAGGCACGAATTATTAGAAACCCTGCATCCTGAGGATGCTTGTCAAATGTTAAAACAAATGTTAACATCGTCATCGGAATGTCCACAACCATTTCGAAAAGCACTTCCATACTAATTTAAATATCAATAAAAAATGTCTCCTTGGCAAAAAGATGCAAAATAAAAATTTGCATAATCAAAGTGTCAATAAAATTTGCCAAAAAGACGACGGATATTTTTAGACACTTTGATTGCTCTGCTATTGCTGACTGTACCTAAGTACTAAGTAATTGTAAGAAGAGAACTGTGCAAAATAAATCAACAAATAAGCACTTGGTCTATAATTACACGGTACGAAATAGGTAGCTTAATAAAAAAAGTAATAGAAAAACCAATGTCAACACTGAGTTGGGCTACGGTTTTTAGTATTCCGTACAATCGACACGTAATCGTCCATTGTTAGACGGACTCTCCAAAGAAAGTACTGGAAGACTGACTTAAGACATTTATTGGTAGTCAAGAAGAGCGTGCTGCAAAGTGCCCAGAGCCTTATACTTATATAAACAATAGTGGTATTACAACCGTGGGAAGTTCTAAACTTGTGGAATATGAAAGGGAAATACGAGCTTAACTAAAAAGAATAAAATTTGCCACAAATTTCGAGACCTATGAAACGAGCTTCTGATCACAGTAGAAGTGTTGATATACAAATCGACGTAGATTCTGACAGACACAGTCTTGATACCAAATTCTCTGCTTATTAAGACAATAGTGATTGAGAAGACATGGTGGTAAATGACAAGGAAGAAACACTATCAAGTGACCAAAAGCGATATGGAATACATAGGTATTGTAGGTAGACGACTCCAAAATAACTGGAGAAATGCGGACGATCGCGTGAGTTAGCTATTAAAGCAAAGGATGTCTTCAGATTTAATATATTTAACGATGATGACCCAAAAATGATGTTGGCACAGGACACGGAAGAATTTGCTTTAAGCATACAAATTGGAATGTTATTTTAATCGAAGAAACAAAAGACAAATACAGTTTGAGTTAAAAGTACGTTTGAAACTTATAACTTTAAGAGCGATTACACACGGAGATTTTCAGTAGCGATGCAAACGCGTGATTGCATCGCTACACTTGCGATTTATATACGATTGTAGTGCAGCGATGGAATCGCGCGTTTGTATCGATGCATTCGCGCGCTCGCATCGCGTTGCATCGCATTTAAAAATCGCGCGTGTGTGTAAAGATAGACGATTAGCGACTTCATCTGCTAAAAGTATATAACCGCTCTAAGTTGGGACACTTCTTACTTCTCAGTTTAATGAAAAGGAGGACGTCAGGAACTGGATCGGATCAAAGTGTCTCTGCAAGAAACTTTACTTTAATAAATTCATTTTTGGTAACTATATTTTGTCACCGCATCTGCAAAAGGAAGATTTTTCAGGGGAGTTTTAAATATTCCACAAACGAAACTTGTCGATGTTTTTTATGCTCAAACAAGAGAGTTAACAATTTCACATATATATTTCACGTGATAAAGGGCAGGATTTTCTTACAAGTAATATGGAACCCTAAAAGTAAAATTATAGGACGATCAACATTCTTGGCGCTAGCAGGTGATAAAAGATCGTGACGTGTTTATCACGTAGTTACTTATAGCACCTTGTTATTCTAATTTGCACTCACATACAATAAACATGTTCTTATACTAACTATATACTTTACAGCATCGAACTTAAAACAGGCGTCAATTTGTGCTGGAATGAGGCCTAGCTCCAAGCAATTCAGGGGCTTAATATGTCTTGAGTTGTACAGCAACTAAAACACTTGAAATCTTCGTACTGATTAAACTCTACTGCTCTTTCGTGAGACAGACTCCCCTGAGAAAAATTATCAAGAAACTCCAGGCGTTGCTATTTGTAAATATATATTTGAACACATTAATCATTTATAATATTTA